TCAATGTATTTATGTGTTACATTACTGTTATTATTATTTGTCATGTATACGAAATCATCAATGTATTTGTGTGTTACATTACTGTTATCATTATTTGTCATGGAATACGAAATCATCAATGTATTTGTGTCAAATTACTGTTATCATTATTTGTCATGGAATACGAAATTATCAATGTATTTGTGTGTTACATTACTGTTATCATTATTTGTCATGGAATACGAAATCATCAATACATTTGTGTGTTACATTACTATTATTATTTGTCATGCATACGAAATCATCAATGTATTTGTGTGTTACATTACTATTATCATTATTTGTCATGGAATACGAAATCATCAATGTATTTGTGTCAAATTACTGTTATCATTATTTGTCATGGAATACGAAATCATCAATGTATTTGTGTGTTACATTACTGTTATCATTATTTGTCATGGAATACGAAATCATCAATGTATTTGTGTGAAATTACTGTTATCATTATTTGTCATGGCATACGAAATCATCAATGAATTTGTGTCAAATTATTGTTATCATTTTATTACTTGGCTCATATCACGGATATCAATATACGTCCTGACACTCATGATAACCATTGCACTGATATCGTTATATTACGTCACCAACAGACGTTTATGCATTCGCTTCAGGTTATTTGTAACGTTATACGTCATATCATCTAGTATCATCATCAATGCAATTTGTCAAATTATTGATATTGTTATAACCCGTGTCAATTGTAATCGCCAATGCATTTACGTAAGATCTATGACATCATTACACATCGTCAATGCAATTGTATCAAGTCTTTGATAACTCTTTATGCCATACCGTTCGTAAAAGTATGTCGTTAATGTTGATAGATATACATAGTAACACTTTAGTTCTCAATGCATTTATGTTATATAATTTACATCAATAAACATGTAATCATATATTTTTGTCAAATTATTAATTGCTTTATCGATCTTGTCATTCTCTTTTATCGTAATTTAATGGCGTAAATGCA